CTTTGAAAATAAATCGGCCAGGCCATTTAGGAACAATATTTGAGAATGAAGACCCAGAGACTATGACAGCAGAGACCACCTATGTGTACACAAACATACTGGGACCACCTCCCCTCTCCCAGGATCTTTCTTCCATAAAAAATGACTAAAAAGATCCCCCCAGACCCTCTTCTGAATTGCTCAGAGAAGTCACATTTAATTCTTCCAGTACAAAATCACTGCTATAAAGATGAAGGATCTCAATGGGGATCGTTGACAGTGAGAAGAAAGAGAACACCAGCTGACTGAATCCTCAAATGAAAAGATATATAGCAAAGTTCACAATCAAAAGCAAAATCTGAGCTTCTTCTTAGGCCCTCACATGGACCACCTTCCACCTACCAGTTAATTTCTGGCATCTCATTAATTCATTTGGTTAAAATGCAGTAAAGTTTTCCAATTTTATAAAATGCAAGAAAATAGCTAGTTTCTGACATCATATCCAGAGCTGTCACTTCATTCAGTTTACCTCAACAGATACTGTCACAATAATGGCTAATTTCCCCCCAGCAACTACCTTCCCGTCCTCTTATACCCACCTCCACCCTCACTACTGAGTTTCAGCAGAGCACATGGCCGCCTGCAGTTAGGTGTGTCCAGAAAACCACTTGCTCCCCGTTCTTCTCCTTTCCCCCTCCTGGGGGTTGGAGCAGAGTGGAGGTACAGATGAGACTGCTTCAACCATGCAGATGATGATAATCCCAATGGAATGCCAGAGCATTAAGACAGAAGGAACCCAAGGTGCCAAGTCCCCAGATGGAATCCTGGAGAAAAGTCACCCACCTGGTCTGGACTCCTGCTTACCCCTGAACCATGTTATGTGAGAAAGAAAATTTTATTTTGTTTTAGCCTCTATTTTTAGGGTCTTTGCTATAACAGCTTAGCTTCTACCCAAGCCAATATATACCCTTGCTGAATGTGCCCTGCTCAACCACTCTTTGTCATGCCAGCACTTTATGGCAGGCCTCTGTATGCTAGATTGTAAGAGAAAACAGACCCTCATTCTGCCATCTCGGGGCTTTGACCCTCTGCTTGACGACAAGAGGCCTCCAGGGCTAGTCAGCGCAAAGATAACCTTGTCAGAGAGTGTCCTGTCACATCTGATTCACTCGGGGCACTAGTTTGTCATTGTTGGTGACTTAATTAAAATGGCACCCTATGGGCAGGCTCATGGGAGAACTTACAAAGAGATTTTTACAGAAGAGAAGCTGTCCCCACCATAGACTATACTAATACCAAAAGAAAACTCATGGAACCGCTGAGAGGCAGTTAGAGAGGTTAGGGACAAGTACTTGCCAGGAGCCAGGACTGGCTCTACCCCTGGAAACCGTGGGAGAGTGGCTGCCCCACTCAAGGTCCAGTTACCCGATACGGTAAAGTAGGGATAGGTTATAAAAGGCAACAGTCCCTAAATAAAAGGTGCATGTCTTTCTCAGAGCTTACCTGAACTTGGGTCACCTGACATATAGAATGCAACCACAGAAGAGAACTCACACTCACTTTACTCTAAACTCTGGCCACTAAAAGCCGGAAGTCCAGCTCCAAAAGGCCTAAAACTTTTCTGTTATGAGCAAACCGTCAAGAGACATGTTTAGTGAGCAACCCCTATTCTAGAGAGCAGGCTTGCCGACACCTCTTCCAATAGTTTTCAGTTTTACTTTGCTTACCAATCAAGAATGCTTAGGATAAACAGATAAACAGAATGTGGTATTACATACAATGGAATGTTATTCAGCCTTAAAAAGAAATTCAATACAGGCAACAAAATACATGAACCTTGAGGACATTATGCCAAGTGAAATGAGCCAGTCATAAAAAAACAAATACTGTAGGATTCCATTTATATGAGGTACCAAGAATAGTCAAATTCATAGAGACAGAAAGGAGAAGGGTGGTTGCCAGGGACTGGGGAGAGGGGAAATGGAGAAAAGTTGTTTAACGGGTACAAAGTTTCAGTTTTACAAGATGAAGAGTTCTGGGGACTGGTTGCACAACAAAGTTTATGAACCTAATACTACTAAACTGTACACTTAAAAACGGTTAAGATGGTCATTTTTGTATGATCTATATCTTACCACAATTTTAAGAACAAAAACAAAAAACTCATAACTGTATACTAAAACAAAAAACAAACTCAACTATAAATACATACACTGTATCTTAATTATAGTGGTGGCTGCAAGGGTGTATACATATGTCAAAACTCAATGAACACTTAAAATGGGTGAAGTTAATTTATGCAAATATAACAAATATAACAAAGAACTTTTAGTAAAGGTCTCGTTTAGTAAAGTTATCATTGATTCTGAGGTGTTCCAATTTCTTAAATTTATCCCCACTCCACCCTCAGACCATGCCAATCAGACGTTTCCCCCAAAGCTACGGTGCCACACTTACTGCAAGATGCTCATCTTCAGCTGCAGGCCATGAAGAACCTCGATCACTCTCTGCACGTCACCGAGAAGTTGGTGGGTGGCCACAATCTTCTTGGCATTCTGTTGAGAGTAGTTCTCTTCTAAAAATGCCAGACCATGCATATGTCCCCTGGTCAACCATTCCTTGTCATACCAGTACTTGAAACCAGGCCTCTGACCTAAAACAGTGACAATGAGAGAGTTAATACTCGACCTAAAAGAAACCCAGGCCATTTCATCATTGTACAGTTATCACACAAACTATTGGAAGGATGGACTGGTGTGTTCATTTTATTCATTTATTCACCCAACATACATTTACTTGGCATCTGCTACATGTGAGGCTTCCTACTAGGTGTTGGGGATAAAGTTGTAAGGAATGTAAATTTCCTGATCCCTGGAAATGGCCAGAGGTATGGTAGGAACCTGGATACCTCCTTCAATTTAAATCGCATCATCCTCTCTCCTACATAAGACCTGCAAAGATGCCCTCCCACACACAGAAGGCCAACGCCCTAACTCTAGCCTAATAAGACCTGCAGGACCCAGCTCCTTTCTGCCATCCTGGCCCCACCCTTACATCGGCCTTCTTTCAGTTGCTGGAACACATCAAGCTTTTTCTGGTCGTAGGGTCTCTAGCACCCCCTCTGTCTGGAACACTATTCCCCAAGGCCTTTGTAGGACTGGCTCCTTACCATCTCTCCTCAGAGACGCCTTTTGTCATCTCTCAAAGAAGAGAGCCTCTTCAGTGCTTCCTAGTTGTTCCCTATCAGCTCACTTTGGCCCCCTCACAGCATTTATCCCTATCTAACAAGTTCTTATTTATTTGACTTATTTTGACATCGGTTTCTGGCCCCAACTCCACTAAGAGCCAGAAGAGTAGAAACCATCTTGTTCATAGTGCCTGGCAAAAGGCATCTCAAATGGATATCTCAAATGGAAAAAAGCCCCACGTTCCCCTCCAGCTGTCACCTACCACCAAACTAAATAATGATCAGGCCCTCTCCCTTCTCTGGACCTCTGTTTCCCATCTGTTACAACAACAGATGAACTGGACAGCTTCAGTGGTCTTGTTCATTACAGGGACACTTGAGAAGGGCTGAAAACACATGTGACTTGGCAGTGTTTCCTGCGCCAAAATCCCAGAGAACAGCTTTCAACCAAACTGTTGTTCACCTCCCAATACCTAAAAACTCTGAAATAACCCTATCAAGGTCCTTGGGCTCTTTCTGGCTTTACCAAGACATGACGTGGGGATGTACCTTGATTTTGTCAAAAATATCTTTAGGTAACCTTTAAAGAATAAATCTGTTAGGTTAAACTTCTGGCCCAAGACACGGCAGTGTCAAACACAATCTATAAATGTGACAGACATTGAGTGTTCAATTCAAGGAGGAATCTATTCACAGTCTTGGCAATTACAGTTATAAAAGTTCAGAAAGTGTGCTGGACTTAATGAAGATTGTGTGTGTGATTTCTAAAAAGGGGAAAGTGGAGGGAAAGAATGAAAAACAATAAAGTAGACAAAAGAGATTTTTAAACAGTACCCGAATGAGCCCTTGGGATATGTGTGGAATCTCAGAGGCAGCTGCTGCAGGAGTGGCCTGAGCAGCAGGATTCAGAGCAGCACTCCCTGTTTTACAAGACAAAGGTCAGAGACACTAATTCTCATCTTCTGTCATGTCGCGGCTAGACTTGTATTTGCTCACTTGTCAAATATTGGGGCTGAATTAAGTGGTCTCTGAGATACTGCCTATCAATAATATTCTATGATTCATAGACTAATCTTCTGACCATATTCTCTCCTTGAGATAAAGGGAAAAACAGGCATATTCCTTTCTGCCTATGGACTAATTTAGCACAAGGAGACAGTGTCACAACAGAGGTTATCATGCCTGAGGGGACCAACCTGCTGGAAAATGAACTATGGTAGCCAATCCTTCCCTATACAACCAGCAAAACCAAGAGATTTGGCTCCACAAGCCAGTTCCAATTCTAATTTGCTTCATGAGATTAGGAAAGTCACTCATATCCCTGAGCATCGATTTCTTTCTCATAAGCAAAAATGGGAATAGGAGTTCCTATCAGGCCCCTCACAGGACTAAAAGGAACAACAGAAGCAGAGACTCTCAAGCACTATCTAGCTGTAAGGGGATCATGGGACTAGAGCTGAGGGGAGACCCTACAGGTGGTAAAGGGAGAAGATGTCACCACCCTACTGATAGCAAGACAAGAACCACAGATATATAATCCATCCCTGAGACTACTGGAAAGGGGCACCCCAGAGCCACAGGCCAGCTCTGTGGCCATGGAACAATGAAACTAAGGGATCCTGCCAAGGAATTAATTCATTGTTCTGGGTGACAGGCTCTTGGCAACCACACTTTTCCTCCTTCCCTCTAGGGCATATCTCCCTTCCTGGTGGCAATGAAGCAATGGAGGACAAATGCCACCAGAGGGAGCAGAGGCACATTTCTAACCTTCCAACAGTCCTGAAAAGCCAAGGACAGAGCTCACATCTTCATGAACTCTCAAGAAAAGGAAAAGGTGCTGCTCTGGAAGCCCATATTCTAAAACGGGAACAATACAAAGAAGATTAGCACAGCCCCTACACAAGGATGACAAGCAAATCTGTAGAGCGTTCCATAGTTTTTATAGGGTTTCGGTCATACGAGATGAAAAAGTTCTAGAGATCTGCTGTCTACCACTGTGCTCAGTTTATAAACAATACTGTACTATACACTTAAAAATCTGTTAAGAGGATAGATCTTATATTACATGATTTATACTACAATTTAAAAAAATCCTAGCTCAAGGCCAGGCCTTCTACTAGATGAACCTCTTCAAACATGGTCTCTTCCTGCTAAGTTCAGGATAACTGGCCACCAACTGAGTGAGCAACAAAGGCGAGAAGGAGTCAGAGTCTAGCCGATGCTGAAGAAGAGTCTCAAGACCATAGACACTCAGGCTGCTAAACAGGTGCTGTGCTAAGGAAAAGGCTACATACTGTTATTATCCCTGACTCCAAACATCTCTACCTGGAGGGTCTTGGCAAACATAACAGGTGTATTTCTCAGGCACATTTTCTTCCAGTAATCCCATGCAGACCCCATGCTGCCAGCACTGGCACTCTTCACACTGTTAGAATTAAAGAAGCAATAAAAATTAAACTCAGAAGGTATCCTCCATCCAAAAATAAGACCCGCCTGTGGGGGGAGGTAGCAGGGGGAGGTAGAGGAGACATGAGAGAGAGCACTCCCAACTGACTGACACAGGAGCTGGGCTGCAACCACTCATCTAGAACTGCACTCACCAGTATGGCAGCCACTAGCCACCTGTGGCTCTTCACATTTACATTAACAAATTAAGTTAAAAATTCAGTCAGTTCCTTAGTCCCACCGGACATATCGTATGTGTTCAATAATTATATGAGGCTAGTGGCTACTGTACTGGATAGCACAGAAGAACATTTAGATTAAGCAGTGCTGGTCTCTGTTTTCACTCCCATTTCTAGAAGCTTTCATTTTTCTGATCACTTTATGAGGACAAAAACTATTCAAGTTCTTAGAGGCGGGTTAACTTGGAATGACAAAAACCTGAGTTTGAATTCTGGCTCAGACATCCATTAGCTGTGTAACCTTGCACAGGTCACTTCTCCATCCTGGGATTCAGTTTCCCCACCTGCCAAATGGGATACTATTTCTACTGTCCACGGGGGGCTGTTTATGAGGAATTAATGGGTCATGTGTAAAAGCTCCTATTGCAGAGCCCAGAACACAGCTTTAATGTATTAAGGGCCTCCTGCTACTTGCTAATAATGGGTAAGCTAATTCTGATACCTCCTGGAGTAGCCATGTGCTACATATTGCATTGTTCTCTCTAAACCTTACCAAAGGTCACACAGCTGAAGAGAGGCAAAGGCGGATCAGAACATAAACCAGGAACTTGCAAAACTAGTTCTTTTAATGTCTAGACTTCATCACCTTCCTTGGGAAAG